GTGAACCAAGAAGCACAAAATTTGACAAGTGCACAGAATACATACACATATATATGTATCAGATTATATATATATATATATATATATATATATATGTATATATATATGAAGGGAAAAGTATAGGACATTAGGGTGTGAGTTGAGAATGTGACAACACTTAAAATTTATTATATAATAAAAAAAATTTATTGTATCATGGCTAAACCTCAGTGAACTGTTTTAGTTTTGGAGAGGATTTGTGTGGTGAATAGTAAAGTTTTATTTATTAGGGTAATAATTTTGTATGTTTGGTATATGTAACCTATAAATAGAAATTAGTATATGTATGAAGGCACAGAGAAAATCACGTAACAAATTGGATTATGTTATTTGAAGACTGCTTTCCTTCCCTGTTGTGTATTTTAAATATTTTCAATCAGTACTTCTGGATCTATTTCATTCTTCTGAGTGGCTATAGGATTATGTTCTAGATGTACATTTGATTTGCTATCATTTTTTTGTCTTATAAAAGCAGTGCATTGACCATCCTTTTACATGTTGTTATGTTCTTTTTTTTAAAATTATTAACATATAATTATTTGTTTCAGGGATACAGGTCTATGATTCATCATTCTTACACAATACACAGTGCTCACCACAACACATACTCTCCCCAATGTCTATCACCCAGCCACCCCATCCCCCCAGATGTTGTTACATTCTTAAGTGAAGTTTCCTGTAGAATAAATTCTTAGAACAGATAAGTCAAAGGATATATGTATACATTTAACACTTTAATAGAAAACACCAAATTGCCCTTCATAAAATTGTACTGCATTATTGACTTAAATATAGTTATAGATACCTCTTTCACTATATTCTTCCATCCTCATCAAAAGGTATCTCATTAGATGTTCATTTTACATTGAGCCATTGAAAATTCAATGAATGGTGATACTGAGCCTCTTTCTCTCTTAAAATGCCATTCATGCTTTGTTCATTGCCTTTCAGTATCTTTTGCCCCCTTCCCTATTGGGTATTTTCTTTCCTATTATGTTTAATGTTAAGAGCTCACAGGCTGTTTTTTTTTTAAGATTTTATTTATTCATTTGTCAGAGAGTGCCTATGCATAAGCAGGGGGAGTGTCAGGGCGGAGGGAGAAGCAGGCTCCCCTGCTGAGCAAGGAGCCTGATGTGGGACTCAGTCCCCGGACTCTCATGACCTATGCTTAAGGCAGACACATAACCCACTGAGCCACCCAGGCGTCCCTCACAGGCTGTTCAGTCAGATTAATCTAGGTTTGAATTCTAGCTTCACTTCAGTTAGATGAGGAATTTTAATAACATATTTCAACCAGCTTGCTGACTTTTGAAAAATAACTTTATTTTGAAATAATTTCACTTCCAGAAATGCTGCAAGAATAATATAGGTAACTCCTATACACTTTACTCAGATTCATCAGATTTTATTATTTTCTCACATTTACTTAATTATTCTCTGTGTGTGTATATACTTTTTTTCCTGAGCCATTTGAAAGTGGATTGCATACCTCATGCCTTTTATATCCCATAATACTTCACTGCTTCTTTCTAAGAACAAGGATATTTTATTACATATCCATCAGCTTGCTAATTTTTTCTACATCGTGGCACATAAACTGATACCACTGGACAGTGGGTTAAATTAAGAATACTTCTTGAGGCTGAAGGGTTAAGGATTAATGTCTTGGTGCATATATAACCAATTTGTACTGTTTGTTCTGCGCAATGGGAAGCCTTGATTTAAGTTCTGAATTATTTCATCTATAAAATGTAAAACAGTGATGTTATTAGCACTTGTCTGTTAGAATTATAGTGAGAATTAAATATTGTGTGTAATGCTTATTAGCACATGGCAAACACTCAAATAAGCTTTTTGTATATTAGGAAAATGTCATGAGTTACAAATATTTTTCTCTCTTTTTAAATGTTATTAAAAGTTTTAAAATCTTACGTGATCAAAATTGTAGTCTTTATTTTTATGGCTTTTTTTCTTTTTAAGGACACTCAAAATGAGCTTTTCTACCCCCAAAATGATCAATTACCTGTTCATATTTTCATTGTATATATTTATGGATTCAGTATTTTATGTTTAAGTCTGATTCATTTGGAATATATCTTGGTATAAAAAAAGTGAGGTGGAGATCAACTATAATTTTTTTTTTTTTAAAGATTTTATTTATTTATTCATGAGAGACAGAGAGAGAGAGGCAGAGGGAGAAGCAGGCTCCCAAGGAGCAAGGAGCCCGATGCGGGACTCGATCCCAGGACTCTAGGATCATGACCTGAGCCGAAGGCAGACGCTTAACCATCTGAGCCACCCAGGCGCCCTCAATTATAATTTTTAATAGAAATACAGGGTATTAAAGAATTAAGATTTATTGCCCAGTAATGGTTAAATGACTTTTTGCTTATAAGTACTACCTTCTTTTAAATAAAGCCTCTTTTTTGTTATTTTGGTAAATACTTAGTCATTCTTCAAGAGTTCACTCAAACAACATTTCTTTGAGGAAATCTTATTTCTATTAGATTTTATGTAACATGTCACCTACATGAGGGCAATATAACCTTAGTCGTATCTTCAGGACTTACCACGGTGTCTAAACATAGTAGGTGTTTAGCAGATTTTGAAAAGATGACTAGATCAGTTTGTAAACAGTGTATTAAATGGTTCTGTGGAAAATGAATCCAATAATTTGTAGATTTATCTTTTCAGTTGGTTATTAAACATCACTCCCTACGTTTTCTTTTTGTTTAACATTCTACTTTTTGATTGTATTAACTTAATATTGAATTGTCTTGAATTCTAAATTGGTTTGATTCAAAGTATCAAGATACTATTACATAATAAGCAAAAGATAGAATAATCCAGGTATTTTCTGTAAATAAGGACATGGATGACCAGCCTTTAATCCATTGCTTTTTTATTTGAGAAACAAGTATCTGAATTTAATTATAATGTATTTAAGAAGTCGTAAGACTTGGTGTTCTGCATGGAGTATGAATTGTCATGTGTTTGGTCTGAATCATATTTAAGCACTTGGGTTAGTGCATTGTTTGAGTCTTTTAAAATCTAAATATAAGCATTTGGTAGCTGTTAAGATTTTTCTTAATTGAGAAATTTGAAGTTCTTTGGAAAGAAATGATGTGGGGGCTAGTGTGGGGGGGGAATCAAAATTGTCCCCAGGCTTTCTGGTGTAAGTCCCTGGGGAGATGGGCACCTTTTACTGGGAAGATTTGTAGTGGAGTAGGGTTAGGCAGAGTGGTACAAGATTAAGGATTTAGTTTTGGAAATACTAGTTTTGACATGCCTGTGATTTGTATAAGGTGAGATATCAAGTAGACAATTGGACATACTAACTTGGAACTTGAGAGTTCTGATCTAGGAGTATAAGTCCATCATTGGCATCTTGGTGATTTCTGTCTTGGTAATGACGGATCACCTAGGGGTTTAAGTACAGAATGAGAGGATAGGGCCCAGGAACACCTTAAGATACAAAAAATGTAATTTAGAGGATGTGTAGAGGATGAGGAGCCAACAAGAGACTGAAAAAGTGATACTGCAGAAAACACTGTGAAAAGTCTAGTCAGATAATGTTAGACAAGTACCCATTGGAGAAGCAACATGGAATTTCTACTATATGACCTAAACTAGAACAATTTAACTGGAGTTGATAGGAGAGGGTACTATATTGGAATGAATTGAATAATGAATGAAAAGTGAGTGTAGAGCTCTTTGAGAAGTATGTTTGGCTTTGCAAGACAAATGGTAGCTGAATGGGAATATGATTTAGTGGAGTGTGTGTGTTTAAAGAATGGTGATCGTAGAGACTTTGCCAGCATGTTCATGGGAATGGTGTAGTATAAAAGAGATTAATGAGCTGCACTGTCCAATATGGTAGCTATTTGCCACATGCGGCTAGTGAAATTTAAGTGAGTTAAAGTCAAATAAAATACAAAATACATTTCTTCAGTTGCATCAGCCATATTTTGGGTACTCAATAGCCCCGTGTGGCTAGTGGCTACCATATTGAATGGTACAGATACTGAACATTTCCACCATTGCAGATAGTTCTGTTAGTTCTATATTAGAGGAAAAAAAGGACAACCAAAGGATTGTGACAAAGTGGGATCCAGAGGACCTGTGTGAATGGACATTTGTATTTCATAGAAAGAGAGATTCCTCCACTGAATAGTACCAGACCAGATAGATGTAGTTTTGTTAGCGAGATGACTAGACAATCTCTTTTTGTCATTTTCTATTTCTGAATGAAATATTCAGGAGTTATGAGCTGAGAGTTTGTGTGTTGGGCGTAGGGAGGCAGGGAAGGACAGGTGAGAGAATCAGGTTTGAAAGTACTTAGAGGAATTCACTGGAGAAGGCTAAGAAGATTGCTGACAATGACGAGTCCCCATTTGGGGTTGATAATGAAATTTAAAGTTTTACTAGTTTGCTCTGTTAAGTGGTTTTCTTTACCAGCACTCAGCTGCTTAGCCAGGATTGTGAATTTGCCAAGTTACTGCAAGGGAGTTGAGAGTATTTGCAAGGTAGTGATGACACTAATGATCTGTGGAATTCTAAGCTAGATAAAGGAAGTTAAAAATGAGAAGGGTAGTGGTGGGAGTTGATACATTGAAGTTTATGATGAAGTCAAATAGTTTTTGCCATGGGGGTACTTGGCCAAAGCAGCTGGGAGGTTGAAGGGTTATTGCCATAGGATAAGGTGTCTAAATTTTATCTACTTTTTCATACTGGTGGTCGGGGTGGAGGGTAGGAATAATATGGTTTCTGTGGGCAGTAAGGTCATGATCTGACTATAGGAATAGGAACTCTGATCAAGGGACTTTGAAATCAAGATGTTGGATTGGTTGTCCATGTAGATGTTGAAATTAACCAAGAAGCCAGGATTCAGGTCTTCTGTGATAAAGAGGAAATAAGCAGCAGGTCGGAAATGACTTCAGCAAGGAGAGGAGGGAGAACTAAAAGGAGACTAATGATGACTGATAAAATGAGAGTGAGGTGTATGAGAATAAAAAAATGGTTGTAGAGAGGAAGTGGTGTTCTCATGCCAAACTGCAGCAGCTAGTAGCAACCAGTGGACTGTAGTACTTGAGGGGAAACGGGCATCCATGGGTTAATAGTTCTTACTGGAAAGAGTTGTGTTGGACTAAGGCTGGTAATAGTTGCCTACCTAAGGCAGTCCAGTGTGTGTTCTTTAAAATCATTTTTGTCTTGCAAAGCACTATTGTTGATTTTCAGAGCTTAATTGTTTTTCTGGCACCTGGAGTTGTGATTGAAGGAGTAGCCCAGGGTAGAGTGGCTATTTATAAGTATGTGTAGGTCATTTGTAAATTAGAGAAAGTCTATACACTTTCTGAAAGTGGTTGTTTTTTTCTGACAAAAGGTTATGAACAGCACTGTTTTCGAGTCTAATACACCTGGGTTTACATAATGACCCTACCACCTATTAGTTCTCTGACCTTAGAGTCATACAATCTCAGTGAACCTAGAACTTCATCATCAACAGAATGGGAAAAGTCTATCTATAGAGGATTTGAAAAACATACACCAAACCCTTAAAATGGAGCCTGATGTTCATTGTGTACCTTAGCCCCAGGTACCTCTTATCTAGTGTTTTTGGTACCACTTCTGTAAAATTCTAGTTTTTTCTGACACTAATATTTCTTGTATCTTTAGAAATATCTAAAGCAATATTTAAACCTTTTTGGAAGTTTTAACAGAATATTGAAAAACAATTCCTCTTAAGTATCACATATTTTAATGGCTTACAAGTAATTGCTGTTTGAGTCATAAATAAAATACCTTAAATAAAGCAGTTGCTTACTGTTGCTTGAGTTCAACTGCTGGCTCCATCATGTCCTAACTGTTGAGTGATTTGAGGCCAATGATTTTTTCTTATTAAAAAAAAAATCTGTGGAACTGCCCTTTACACATATGAATGGTGTGAGGATCAGATGATTTCCTCATGTGAAGAATACGCTTTAATATAAACTTCTATTTTTATGTCTCATGTTTTTACACCTTTTTTTTTTTTTAGCTCTTTGATGTTGGACATACAGCATTTCTTGTTTTTGTTTTTTTCTGTATAACTTTTGCTTGGAAGTGTCAGGTTCAGTAATGATTTAAAAATGTGATGTTTCATAGCAACTTGTTCTCTCTTAAATAGAGAACCAGATGAGAGCTTAAAATGTAGATTTAACAATAATTATTTCTTTTTTTATAAAAACAGGGCTGATGGTGTTATGAGAACAATGAACACAGAAAAACTCCTAAAAACTGTACCAATTATTCAAAATCAAATGGATGCCCTTCTTGATTTTAATGTAAGTTGATTGCACAAATGCTTTTATAAAAATTTAAGATTTAAGAAATATATTATTGGTCAGAGTCTTTATTCTTAAGTTTTCATAAACTAGTTTTTTCACTTTAATATCCTATTTGGCTAAATATTTTCTATAAATGTGGTCCCAAATCAGATTACTTTTTATTTTTATGATTTTTTTAGATTTGCTCTGATTTCTTTGGTGGTGTTTCTCTAGCTCTAGAATTACAGGGTATACTAGCTAAAGAAAGTGATGGAGAGGTGAAGGGTTTGATCTGAAAATCTGCTTTCTTTTGATAATGGTTTTTAGATTTTAAAAATATATAAAGATTTTCTTTATGAATAGTCTATTTAATATTTCACTTTTGTCTGCATTATAGAACTGAATGCATGTCAGTTATTAACAAATACAGGGAAGTTCAAGTATACTTGTAACAGCTTGTTATATAAATAACTGTTGCTGAAGAGCATTATGTTCCTTGAAAGTTTTGTTTCAGTTACCATTATTTAAACCAAGTTGCCAGCTTTGTCATTTGTTTATAATATGTTAGGTGTCAACATTTTCAAGTCTGTTCTTTTGGGGGGGCATCTATCTTTAGACATTTTATTTTAAGGCTTATAAGTGCAAGTTAGTGAGTGAAACTGTGACAATTTCATACTCAAATAGATTTTTCCTTTAACTTGTGCTATTAATTGGTAGTCTTTAAGTTTCTTGAGGGCAGGGACCAGGTCTTCTTTTTCTCTGCTGTGTCTCCATTGTCAGGAGTGTGTGGCATATAGAGTGCGTGTTCAGTAAACATTCAGTAAATGAGTTCTATAGATGCTTCATAGACTAGAACAGGTTATTAAACTATGGCTTACTGTCTGTTTTTATATGGCTTGTGAGCTAAGAATGATTTTTGTATTTTTATTTATTTTTTTTTAAAGATTTTTTTAAAGATTTTATTTATTTATTTGAGAGAGAGAGCGAGCGAGCACATGAGAGGGGGGAGGGGCAGAGGGAGAAGCGGACTCCCTGCTGAGCAGGGAGCCTGATTCGGGACTTGATCCTGGGACTCCAGGATCATGGCCTGAGCCGAAGGCAGTCGCTTAACCAACTGAGCCACCCAGGTGTCCCGATTTTTATATTTTTAAATGGTTGAAAATAATTTTAAAAAAAGGAATATTTTTGACAGGTGAAAATTATATGAAATTTCAATTCAGTTTCTGTAATAGTATTTTTACAATACAACCAGGCTCACTGGTTTACATATTGTCTGTGGATGCATTTTGATGTAATAACAGAGTTGAGTAGTTCTGACATAACCATATGATTCGCAGAATCTAAAATACTCACATTTAGATCTTTTGCAAAAGACGGTTGCTGATCTCTAGTGTGGAAGACGGGATTGGTGTAACTATGGAGCTTTATTTTGGTTTTTATTAGAGGGTCCAACCATGAAACTTTTTTCATCTGACATATTTTGACTATTTTTATAAAACTGTTCTTTTCAGTGTCTGTATTGTCCTTCATTGCATGTAACAAATTACCTGATCCTATTGGCAGAGATTTAGAATTTTTCTGATTTTTTTTTAAATTCAGAAAATGAATGGGAAAAAACCAGAGGAGGGGACATACTAAATACCAATTGTGTGTTAGTGTGTGTCACCTGCACATTTATAAGTTTTATAGGTTTAATGCCTAGAAAAAGAATTTGGTAGAGCAAAGGACATAAACATTTAAATTTTTAATGAATATTGACAACTTACATTACAAAAGGATTAAGCCCAGTCACTTGTCAACAGGTGCCTGTTTTTCTTTATCCTTGTTGGCACTGAGTAATTTAGCTTGGTTTTGATCATTTTGGTACCTCCTAGTCTGGTGCTGGAGAAAGGATAGTTCTAGTCTAATTCGATTATTATATTTTAATTTACCTGATAAGGGAAGTCTTTTCAACATGTTATGTGAATTGTCTGTCATTTGCTTTATTATTAGGATTCTCTACAATGGAAATCAACCTTGTTAGAGATTTTACAAGTATTTACCAGTTTGTTGTTTACTGTTCAACTTTGTGCTTATGTTTTTATATGCCTAAAAAACAAGTTAATTGGTTCATCCTTTTGATTCATTTCTTGAGATAAAACTAAAGGTATTTCTAGTATTCTTGATAGACAAATAGGTGCTGTTTTTTTTGTTACATCATAATTCAGTAATAGTCATATTCTTTATGTGTGAGGGACTGTGCTATTTACAATCTGTATATTAATTCTCCCAGTAATCATATGAAATAGAAATAGTCTCATAGCCATTTTGAAGGTATTTGTTTATAATATTGGAAAAAGGTGTATTTTAAAAAAAAAAAAAGTTTCTTCTACCTAGCTTATTAGCTTTGTATCTTGGTGATTGCCTAGGAATTTCAGAAGTTAAAGGATATTTTTGTTCTTTGTGACTTATTTCTGAATTAAATTGAATGTTATAGAATTTTTGTTTGCTTGTGCCTTTTACATTAATCTGAACTCTTTGACAGATTTTTGTACTATTTGGATGTAACTCTGCAAGAAATAAATGTCTTTTTCTCTAATACACTTAAATATTTGAATTTACAGTATTTTAATTTGAAGGAGGTTTTTGTCATTTAATACATAAGATTAGCTCATCTTTTTTTCTAATTTTTCCCCAGGTTAATAGTAATGAACTTACAAATGGGGTAATAAATGCTGCCTTCATGCTCCTGTTCAAAGACGCCATTAGACTGTTTGCAGCATACAACGAAGGAATTATTAACCTGTTGGGTAAATATTGCTGTGGTTTGTCAATTGTTGTTGCTGTTTTTTAAGATTTTATTTATTTATTTGAGAGAGAGAGATTGAGAAAGCACAGCCAGGAGTAGGAACAGAGGGAGAGGGAGAAGCAGACTCCCCACTGAGCAGGGAGCCCAATGCAGGGCTCGATCCCAGGACCCCAGGATTATGACCTGAGCTGAAGGCAGACGCTTAACAACTGAGCCACCCACGTCCCCCAATATTGCCGTAGTTTAATAACATTTTATTTTTTTATCTTGTGTTCTATTGATAAATAATATTGTCTGAGTTGTTACTTAGGGCTGCCTAACCACTCATTGGGATATTCATTGATTATAACAATTTATTTGGAGAAAAGATTCTTATACCTGATTATGTTAAGTAATTAAATACGTATTTTTACAAGTAGAATGTTCAGCTGGATGACCTTTGTTTTATTTATTTATTTTTAAGATTTACTTATTTATTTTAGAGAGAGAGAGAGATGCATACAAGCGGTGGGGAGGGGAAGAGGGAGAGAGACAAAGAATCCCCAAGCAGATTTCCCACTGAGTAGGGAGCCCTATGCTGGACTTGATCCCAGGACCCTGTGATCATGACCTGGGCCAAAACCAAGAGCCAGCTGCTCAACCAACTGAGCCACCTAGGTACCCCTAGATGAACTTTGATTTTTAGATATATCTGTGATTTTTCTTCCTATCAGTTTTATTATTTTTAGGAATATAAAAATCCCCTTAAAATTAAGTTGGAGTTCTTTCTCTGCCAGAAGAATCTTACTTCCTCAAAATTTACTCAAAGAATTTTAATTATAAAATAGATAATTGTTCTAAGCCTAATTTTAAAATTGATAATTATTTTAAATGTATTAAACATTTATTTATTTTTTAGGATGCCTTTTACTTTTGATGCATTTTAAGAATGTGTATATTCAGTGTATATAGAATGCAGTTAATTTTGTCTAGAAATGATCATTTTTTTCCGTGGGACTTGGATGGAGTAGATAAGTTAACAGTCTAAAGAGTACTTAAGTATCAAGTGTCAGATACCAAATGTGTTCACTCCATTGTGTTTTTTCTCCCTCCCCTCCCCATTTAAAAAATTTATTTAAATTTGCTTTCTATAGGCTTATTCACAAACTTATTTAGGAATGCCTTAATTTATGAAGATAGGGAAATTGGGCCTATTTTTTCACAAGTAAAAAGATAGAAGGTTTTTTCTACATAGTTTTGGAAGTCAGGTTTTTTTTTTTTTTTAAGATTTTATTTATTTGACAGAGAGAGAGACACAGCGAGAGAGGGAACACAAGCAGGGGGAGTGGGAGAGGGAGATGCAGGCTTCCTGCGGAGCAGGGAGCCCAGTGTGGGACTCCATCCCAGGACCCTGAGATCATGACCTGAGCCGAAGGCAGACGCTTAATGACTGAGCCACCCAGGCACCCCTGGAAGTCAGTCTTAACACCGTTGGTATAAATGAAGCTCTTTATTTATTTAACAAGTTTAATGAGCTTTCCAAGTGACATTTGGACATGGTAAAGTTGCCATCTTTGTTAATATGTTATTAGTAAGTTGGTGCTGTTTTAAATGGAGAAAAGTATAACATATGTTAACAAAAAATGCAAATTATATTTAGGGAATTCTGAGGGAAGAAATATTATTGAACAAACTAGTAATATGGGGGAAGTCAAATGATTTTTCTATTTTAATATAATAGCATCTCTGTTTTAATTTGCTTTAAATGTCTAAACTAATTTAACACTGGTATTTTTCCTGTAGGGTGAATGTGTTCTCTGAGACACCTGTATGACCTCTTTGGAGCTATTACTTAATCCTTTTCTTTTTTGAGTGTTCTGTTTTGATGTGAATAAATGCATTTTTACATTTACTTTTGGCAGAAAAATATTTTGATATGAAAAAGAACCAGTGCAAAGAAGGTCTAGACATCTATAAGAAGTTCCTGACTAGGATGACAAGAATCTCAGAGTTTCTCAAAGTTGCAGAGGTAAACTGTCTTTAAGTTGACTGTCTCTTAACTTGCTTTTTTTGTCATTAAGTGTAGATTTTAAAGAAATAAGGCATTATCCAAATGAAAGAAACATCTTAAATATAATGAAGGATATATTCAGTCATATCCATATGCTGTATTGAATTCTTTGTTATGGTATGAATATGATGTGGTATTGAATAAGCTATATACCGTATATTTAATTCAATATTGAATATTGAAAGGTAATCTATTTTTAAATTGTTTATTTCTCTACAAAATCAGGTAGGTGGCACATAATGGTGGCAGAGATTTTTATATTTGGCATTAGCCATGTATTTTAGCATATTTATCCTGTTATGTGGTAGAGAACATTCAGTGTTGAGTGCAAGTCTTTTTCCTCCAGTGAGATTTGCAGCTAGAGTCACATGGTTCATAGTGTTTTGTTCCCCTACAGAAGTGAATTTAGTGTGTTTATTGTTTATCATTGATCCTGAAAACCATGAATGTAGGTTCTAGGATAATTTTATAGATCTGTTTAAAATATAATTTTCTAGATTTCTAGAATAGCATTATACTACTTTACTTGTTCTTTTTTTCATTATTCAGTCTAATGTAATAATGGTGAATATAATTTAAATTAGAAAATTTTCCTCAAAAGATTTTTTTTCCTATAAGAAAGCATGGAATATTTTAAAACATGAGCCAACATTTTAATTTTTTAGTGAGCTCATTAGAATGATAAACTTTAAGTTGATTCATAATAACATTTCTATATCAATCTATAGAAATTGTTCTTAGCCATCCACTGATAACCTCTCCTCATTTTCTCCCCATGACACCCAGAAAATGTGTGTTCTCTAGTGTGATTTTGATTCTGCAGTGGGGTGTTAGAAACTTGGGTGCTTATGTCCTGAGTTTGAACCCTGATTTCAGCTATAACAGCTTGGTACAGGTCCTTAATCTTGGCATCCCATGGTTTCCTCCTCTGTAAAAGTACTTGCAATAGTATTTACCTCACTGGGTTGTTGTAAAATTGTTTAGAACAGTACCTGACTTCTAGTTTGTGTCCTGAAGACATTTGCTATTATTTTTATTCTCCCCCACCTTGAGAAAGCACATATTGGAATGCAAATGAATGTCAATCTTGGTCTTTTAAGGATAATTATTATACATTTATATTTTCTAATGAAAAGAAAGTAATCTATAACCTTTAATTCAGAATCCAACAGATGTCCTGTTTTGAGAACTGTTCCTCTAAGTGATTTTCTTTTCTGTTTTGATGTGTACAAAGAATTTTAACAGGTAGCTAAATGATGTTTGAAAAGCATAGTGCATTCATTCTGGCAATTAAAATAATTGAAGGATTTAATTAGTTGAGACAAAAATATTTTACTTTTAAGATGTTCAAACTGTTCGAAACATCTTATTGAAGAATTTATCTTTTGCCAGAAACCATAATAAAAATAATAAAAAGCTAATAAAACCCTGCTTTTAAAAAAATAATTTTCTGGCATTGTCACAGAAGGCATTTATGTTGTGGTAATGCTTGCAGGCATTATCTTGCTTGCCCAGAGGCAGCTCTCAAAGAGTTTTTGTTTTCACTTTCTCTGCCCTCTGCCCATCACCAGTAGAGATGTCTTGCTAGGATAATTTTGGAAGATGACTAGGCTATAATTGATCAATTATATCAAAGTAGTTAATCTGGAACTAGCAAGTTGGTGATTCTAGCTCTGTTACCATAGTGGTATTTCAGTCTATAGTAGATGGAGTAGGATAGAATAGGATGATGAGACCTTTGAAGAAAATAACTTTACATGAGCTATTTTATGAAGTCTACTGAAGATTATATTGGATTTAAAGTATCTCTCAAGGAGAAATCAATTTTTTTTTTCCATTTCTTTTGGGTCAGTCATATATTAAAACAAGAAGAAGGTAGTGTTTATACTGTTTCCAGTAAATTCTTTTAAGTGTTTCAATTTGTCGACTTTTTCCTTTAGCCTCTTATGTTCTTTGCATTTGATAGTTGTAGTTATTGACTTAAATTTTAAGCCTTTATTTACCTCCAGTTCTTTTGGTCTGAGATGAAATAGACCATCTGCTCCATATGATGTGAGAAATAAAATATTCTTTCATGAGAGTGTCTTTGGGCTTGCAGATTGTGACAGCTTAGCTTACCTAGGTGCTCAGAAGATGTGGAGATGGTAACTTAATAGTCTTATTGAATTTACCACCTCTCGTTCTCCTTTTATAACTTTCAGAGCCGTTAAAGAACATCTAAGCCCTTGGGAATATTGAATGATACCTCTGGAGATTAAATATTCTTCTGATTTTAAAGATGTCTATCCAGAATATTGTTCACAATACTTGCCGTAAATTTCATTTTCTAAATTTTATTTTATTACTTCTTTATTATAATTTTGTTCATTAAATACAATGCTTCTGCTTCTTACAGCAAGTCGGAATTGACAGAGGTGATATACCAGACCTTTCACAGGTAAGTATATTGCATAATATCAGTTCACTGTCTGCTAGCTTTCCCTGTATTGCTAGGTGTGAATGGTACAAAGATGAATAATATGCAGCTTCTACTGTCAAGGAGATCAGTGTAATTTTTCTTGACAGATTTTAACATGGTACATTGCTGACTGTTGTTCTAGCATTATGATCTCTTCATCTCTTATGTTGGTGGAGCTAGCCACTACTATACTATTCCTTTAGTTTATTTCCTTTAATCTCTCCAGTGCAAAGCCCAGTTTTAATTTAGGATTCTGTTGCATAGTAGTTTATCTAAACTTTCAGCTTAGATAGACCTTAGACTCTGTGTTGGCTCCTGCTCTGTATCAGATATGTGATCTTAGGCAAGATATTTACATTTCACTGTCTCAGGTTGTTCATTTGTAAAATGGATATAATACTAGTACCTTCCTCATAGACTCAGTAATTACATACAAGGTAGCTAGCATGTTGCCTGTTGTGCTGTAATAGCTTTTTAAATGTTAATCACTGTCAACAACATTCTCATCATCATCTCTGACAAGAGTTCTTGGGAGTCTTAGACATTTTGTTGAGATTAGGGAGTGGTGTACATGTATTCTCAGTTCAACATAGACGTTAATGTTATAATCTAATAATTTTGGCTTTAATTTGTTTTCTAGTATATCTTTCTTGTACTAAGGTAAGGTCTTGTATATAGAGAAAATGCAGAATGAAGGAAATTGTTCAAGTCATAATTGGTAGATTTAGATACCTGTAATCCGGTAACTCTTTATCTCAAATCCTAAAGAATATTTGGGGCAAGTAAATGCCACTGATGGATTTGCTTCACTGAAAGATAGTGAACAATTCCTTGTCAGCTCACTTTGTTTCCTTTTGAAAGTAATTAGCTCTTCATATTAAGATTTGATATATAGCCTTTAAAGGCCAGTCTTTGTTTTTTAAAACAAAATTGAGCTAAATATCTATTTCAGTCGAATTTGATTAACTGTAGACTTTTGTGTAATCACACCATTCAATATATAGATCAGTTTCCATCACCCCAATTCTCAGGTCCTCTTCTGGCCACTCCCTAGTCCTCTCCATAAATCACTGTTTTGACTTCTAATAGCATAATTTTATTAGATCTTAAATGTAATATAAATGGAATCATCCAAGTGGTTTTCTTGTATCTGACTTCTTTTGCTCATCATAGTGTTTTGAGCTCTATGTATTGAGTGTACCATTAATTCATTCCTCTTTATTGCTGAATAGTATTTCATTGTGTGACTTCACAGTTTTGTTTATCCATTTTCCAAATGATGGACATTGGGATTATTTGTAGTTTTTTACTGTTGTAAATAAAGCTACTAAAAACATTCTTGAACAAGTCTTTTCTTGTGGAGATAGGTTTTTATGTCTTTTGGGTAGATAATTAGGAATGGAATTGGGTAGTTAAGCTAGGTGTATATTTAATTTCATAAAAAAAAAATTCAGATCTTTTTTCAAGGTGGATGAATTTCGACCGACATTGTATAAGAGTTCCATTTGTTCCATATCTTCACCAGTGTTCGATGTTGCTAGTCTTGTATTTAACTTTAGCCATTCTAGTGGGTAAAAAATTGTATCACATTGATAATGTTTGTGCACTTCCAGTTACTCAGCAAGTATTTATCAATTACAGGGAACATTGCCCAACAATATGTCTAGCTTTTAAGAGTATGTTTTTATTCAAAATTCAAATAAGTTAAATATTAAAAAAATTAATTACTTGCAGGAACCTCTTAATGTTTTCATGTTTCCATAGTCTCAGTTTTTATATTTTTGGTTATGTTTATTAATACCCCTTACTAGGTCGTGCTTATGTAATAAAAATAATAATGTTATTCTTTGGTAGCTAAAACTCCACTGCTAATTAGTTCATGAGGAATATACTTATTTTTGTTACTCTCATATGTTAGATGATACTTAATTTTTTTTGACCAGTGGCCTAATTATCGTGAAAATTTTAATATTTGTACAATTTTAGGCCCCGAGCAGTCTTCTTGATGCTTTGGAACAACATTTAGCTTCCTTAGAAGGAAAGAAAATTAAAGATTCTACGGCTGCAAGCAGGTACATTATTCTTTGTAGGGCAAAGAGCAGGAGTGATGTTTCTGAGAGAGTTGATGAATCTAGCTTAAGTTCCAAGTTATTTGATTCCCCCTTATCTTGATTAATCATTTATAATTAATAGCATCTACCTCATAGAGTTGCTGCCAAGGATTAAATGGGTTAATACATGTAAATTCTTGGAATAGTTCCTGATCTTCAATAGATGTCAGCATCTCTTAAGATGATAACACTGACTACATGGTTTGTAATTATATTCATAGTGTCAGTATTTCTCTCAAAGGTGATAGTGCGTTGGGGCACCTGGCTGGCTCAGTCAGAAGAGCATGCGACTCTTGATCTTGGGGTTGTGAGTTTGAGCCCCATGTGGGGTGTAGAGATTACAGAAAATAAATAAAACTTAAGAAAAATGATAAATTTAAAAAATAAACTTTTTTTAAAAAAGGTGATAATGCATTGATTCATATGGTGTCTTATAATTATAAGATGCCCTTTTACAAATTTGATTAACCCCCACTATAGGCCAGTGAAATGTATGCAGTAGTAATTCTGGGACTCAAACCTATGATGTCTGACATAAAATTTCATCATCTTTCTCTAATGCCAATTGATGTGTTTGATTATTGACATACTTTAATCAGTCTGTTGGGCTTTGAGCTGATTTCCAAGACTAAAACCAGTTAACCTACCAAATTGAATATGGCACAGATCATCTCATGTTGACTGTGTAACATGAGTTTTGTGTTGGGTAGTGACTTGAGTAATTCTCATGTTTTTTTATGACAATTTTCTCAATAGTATGAAAAAAACTTTGTGTAAAACATAACGAGAACCTTCCTTCTCTGTAGACTTTTTGATTGTTTCAGAACTTTTTTTTGTGGCAATAAAATTTAAGTAATTTTTAAAGGAAAGTGTTATTACTGGATTTTATTATTTTTTAATTCAAATTTGTTCGTTGAATTTTCTAGTAGGTTTTTAGAAGCACAAGCCAAATTATACGGCTCACTTATCTGAGAAAGTAATGAAAAATAAAGTCAAATAGTTCAGGTATATTGACTTAACCTCATACTTTATCATAAAATTTGCTGAGTTTCTTGCATTTCTATCACAACTATATTACTCTTCCCTTGTCTTCTAAGTTGTATCTTTATAAAATTGATTTTACATAAAATTTGAATAGATTTGCCACTTGTATGCTTAGAGTAGAAATTAATGATGTTTGGTGTGTGATAAAAGGAAAATGAGTAAAGGTCACTGAGGAGTAGTTCTTCAGGTTAGAATTCTTTACTACATGTGTTTGTGTTGCTTAGAATTAACATTTGGGAATTTAATGTTGTTGGGATTTATGGTATGGATAAAGTTTTGATATAAGGGAAAGGAGGTGACTTGCTGTGTATCTGCCAGAGAGAGATGATGCATTGTGCACGTGTGACATGTTTGAAAAGGAAATTCTAGCTTGGCAAAAGACTAGCAGAAAGGAGGTGCCAGGTGGACTAATGACTGAAATAAAATTGATCTTCCTTTGAAGGAACCTGTGGTCCTCTGGGAGTGCAACATTTTTGGGTGTTATTATAAGGGAAACATCTAGACACACATTACTTATTACTAGTACTCATATTTTAGTGTTCCTGTATTAGTACTGCCAAAACCTAGGCTGTAAATTAGCAGAGTAATTTCCTGTGAGAAACTCCATACATTTTACCCATCAAGCTTTTCCTGGGAGCACATGAGCTCTTTCCTAATTGCATTGGTTCCCTCCCTTGGGACTTGGAAGAAGCAGTGTCCCTCAATGTTATTGTGAACCCTTTCCAAAGTCTAACAATTTAAAAAGCAGTGAATGTTTGTATAAATTAGCTAATTACTAATAATCCTGTGGGTAGAATATTTCATCTAAAGTACTGATTTTTATTCCATAAGGCAAGTTCATAATTGTAGTGCTTATCCATGGCTGTGTTGCCAGACCATTTCATAACTAGTTTGCAAAAAGCCAAATTACCTTTGTCCAATTACTCTAGGGCGACAACACTTTCCAACGCAGTCTCTTCCCTGGCAAGCACTGGCCTGTCTCTAACCAAAGTGGATGAAAGGGAAAAGCAGGCAGCATTAGAGGAAGAACAGGCTCGTTTAAAAGCTTTAAAGGTAGGTGTTTGCATTCTCTGTATTGGGAAGAACAAGTACAGGTGTTCATCAAGTAATTGGGACCTCTAAATAACAGTATTTCAAATGGGGTGAGACTCAGTAGTCTGATTTTTCATCCTGACATTGAATGGTTGATGAAACAGGGAATACCTTTCTGCCATCAGAACAAAATTAGGTAATGCTTTTTTTCTGAAGCCCTAAGACACGTCTGCTTTCTGGATTCCTTAATGCTAGTTTCTTTTCTCCATAGGAACAGCGCCTAAAAGAACTTGCAAAGAAACCTCATACCTCTTTAACAACCGCAGCCTCTCCTGTGTCCACCTCAGCAGGGGGTATAATGACTGCACCAGCCATTGACATCTTTTCTACCCCTAGTTCTTCTAACAGGTAGGTGGAAGAGATAAAGATTACCTTTGAATACTTAGATCTAAAGACAGACTTCTCATAGAAATGTTACAGAACTTTTCAGATTTAGTTTATGATTTTGTATTCATAAATTCACACAAAGGAGGTGGTAATAGATGGTGATAGTGGTATAATTAAGAGTTTATATTTTGCATTTTTAGGAAATGGAAGATGGCTGAATTACAAATTTATACTAATTGGAATGTAGTGGGCAGATGTTTCATTTATGTACGTGGATATGTAATCTATTTCATAGTATTCTTTCATTGGATATTAAATTAAATGTCTTTCATGTCTGTTCCCAGGTGTTAAACTCAGTGATCTGGAACATAGTAAGAGTTTAGTTGCCAGGTTTCTGTGGCATTGAAGCCTACTAGACCAACTTCAGTAATCTTGTTGCGTAAAGCTACTTAACAATGGAAATTAATATTTCCAGGCAAATTAGGATAATTGACTTTTTCTAAATTTGTCCTTTCTTTTACCTCAGAGTGGTTTAAAGTCCCAGTTTGGAAGTCAGATTCTGGTTTGAATCTTGGTTGTTATTTCTTTTCTTTTCTTTCTTCCATCTTTTTTTTTTTTTTCTTTAAACTTGTTTCCAAATAAGATGTATGGTACAAGTCAATGGTTCTCAGTCTTTAGTAAGCATCAGAATCACCTGGAGAGTTTCTGAAGCCACAGATTTTTGAGTCTCACCCTCAGAGTTTCTGATTCAGTAGGTATAGGGTGAGGCCCAAGATTTTTCATTTGCAGCAGACTCCCCGGTGGCTAGTATAGGATTTAGCACAGTGCTTAATTAGCACAAGGTAAATGCTCCACAGAGAGGGTTTTCTTTGATTTTGTTGTTGTTGCTGTTTATTTTATTAACTCATTCTTAAAAGGTCTTCCCTCCCACCTACTGAGTCCTCTCATAGCTCAGTGTAACTTTTACTTAGTTGTTACCTCTTCCCTAAAGACAGAGTCTGTCTTAGGAGAGGTAAATGGAAAAGATGTTGAATGGTTTGAGAATTAAATTATTAGATAAAGAAGTAATTTGACTATGTTCTATTTCACTTAAATACACTGAAAGTTTTTACCTTTTTAATTGTAATTGAGGGCAGATCTTACAGCCTATTTTAGAATGCTTATTGCCTATTCTGGTTTTTTTTTCCTCAAGGCACTAAATGCATTTGTATTTTTACTCATCTATCAAAACTATTTTTTACGTCTGAAAGACATTTTGTTTTTGAGTAAGTTAAAAATAATCTGTGCTATAGTACACATAATGCTTTAATTCATGGAAACTCTAGGATCTTTTTTTGAGTTGTTATTCCTTAGTCACATAACAGTCTTAACATATCCTGTAAGTAGTGCCCCCTGGAGTGTGTAATAGGGTAGCTCTGTTGTAAGTTTATATCATATATGCATGTATAATTTTTTCCTGTATTGTTGGTATATTTGGATATTGAAGCAATAGAATTGAAGTTAACAGGTATTTTACTTTGCTAGGGGTATTACTATTACAAATGTAATTGAAGTTCTTTGAAGATTAAAAGTAAGAAAACAAATTTCCTTACAAAAATTAAAATTGCCAGGATGTTTTGTATTTCAGAATCATGTTGTTTAGGTTCATTTCAGTAAGGAAATCAGTATCTTCCTGGGGCAGTCACTGATCTTTCCAGAAGGGCTATAATTATTTGAATCCTATATAAACAAAATACGGTACTTGAATATTTTTTTCCAAACCTCCTTAGAAATACACTGTTATAAATAAAAATATGCTCTTATATATATAAAAGATATGCAACTGTTATCTTGCTGAAACTGTTCCTCCTTTTGGGGTTTACATTACTGGGGACTTTTTTCACTTTTAATGTTTTTATTTACTGGGCAGGAGAAAGGGGGTGGCTGATACAGCAATGTTTACCTAATAAATAAATAAATCATCTTTTCAAAATATTTTCCTAGCACATCAAAGCTACCAAATGATCTGCTTGATTTGCAACAGCCAACTTTTCACCCATCTGTACTTCCTATGTCTACTGCGTCTCAGGTAGCAAGTACATGGGGAGGTAAGCATTAAGGATTTCTGCTTTATATGTTGTATAGGCCACTCCCTTCCCATTCTGTAGTGTTTCACTTATTTGTGTAGTTTTTGGTTACACTTGATACGTGAGAACTTGAAAAATATTACAGTGGCAAAGAAGTCATTTTGTTCCTTGAAGATGTTTTCATGTATTTGTAAATGTGATTTTGGAATTTCTGTTTCAATTAAATTATGAAATGAAGTTTTAATGAAGGTGAAGAGGAAAGACCCAGTGTATGCTGAAGTATGAAAGCATTCTTTCAATGTTGAATATCTGTTCCATAATCAGAAAATGCCTAAGGGTTATTTTGTTTTTGGTACAGAAAAAAAAGTGACTTTAGGGAGAAAGGAAACTCCTGTCATGTAAATATATGATAAGGTTCTAATAAAACTCATCTGGTGTTATCAGGCAGTGAACTCTGTTCTGACTGGGAATGTCATGACAGTCTTTATGCTACTTGTATTTAGTTCAGACCTCTTAAGATTTTGGTATTCAAAGAATTTTCCACTAATAGGAACAGGAATGTTTGCTGCCCTGGAGTAGTTACTGATCTTAGGGTGACTATATCATGATCATTGACCTGGCATCTTCGAAGAATTGAACCTCTAGTCCATGTCAGTTTTTAAGCAGTTTTGTTTAGGCATATAATATGTTTTCAAATTACTTCATTTGGTTGGTTGTGTTTGTTTGTATATATGTGTTATTTTACGAACACTCAATTATTTGGGAGTAAAAGGGGAGATATTCTGAGCAAGGATACTGTCCACAGAACAATAGAGAATGGTCAGCTACCTTAAAAGTTCTGTTGGCTCACGTGTAAAATCTGAATTGATCAGTCTACCTCTCATAGCAAGATAAAGTAATTGTTCTAGAGAATTTTTATGTTAATATGAATTAGACTTGTTTCATCTATATTTTAATGATTCGAGTTTTAAGAACTTTTTTCATTATTTTTTATAGTTAACTTCTTGACGTTCTATTTAGTATAATAAGTTTGTTCAATGAGTGGATGTTTTCTTTTTCTGGACAGGTTATTTCTGGTTCAAGATATGGCAGGGAACAGGAATAGTGAAACACTAAAACACTGGATTTCTAGACTAACCTTGTGAGCCGTGACTTGATTAAAAAACCGACTTAGAAGATTAGTTTAATTTAGCTAAATCTTAAGATCTCAGAGTTGATTTCTAAAACTGATAAGCTAGTTTAAAGTCAGTAAGCTAGTTTAAAGTCAGTAAGGGGCGCCTGGGTGGCTCAGATGGTCAAGTGTCTGCCTTCGGTTCAGGTCATGATCCCGGGGTCCTGGGATCGAGTCCCACATCGGGCTCCCTGATAGGCAGGGAGCCTGCTTCTCCCTCTGCCTCTGCCTCTCTTTCTCTCTCTCTCTCTGACTCTCATGAATAAATAAATAAAAAAAAAAGTTTAAAGTCAGTAAATATTTTAGAATTATCTGAATGAAATGTAGACAGCAAATTAAGGTTAAGAAAGTAATTTTTTTTTTTTAAGATTTTATTTATTTGACAGAGAGAGAGCAGGAACACAAGCAGAGGGAGTGGGGGAGGGAGATGTAGGCCTCCCGCTGAGCAGGGAGCCCGATGAGGGGCTCAATCCCAGGACCCTGGGATCATGACCTGAGCTGAAGGCAGACGCTTAACGACTGAGCCACCCAGGCACCCCAAGAAATAATTTTTAAAGATCCTAATGATATGTCCTAATTTTAGGATTTTTAATCTGGCGAAATTTACATGCTTATTTTCTGCTTATTGTGAATTGTTTTAGAAGTTTAGTAGAATTGACATGACCATGTAAGAAGTTTTAGCTTGCTTACTCCCCTTTAAAAAAAAAAAACAGACACACTGTTTAGATTTCTAAAGTTAAGGCTGAAAGTTGTTTTTCTTTTTTTTTTAAAGATTTTATTTATATGACAGACCCACAGCGAGAGAGGGAACGCAGGGGGAGTGGGAGAGGGAGAAGCAAGCTTCTCACGGAGCAAGGAGCCCGATGTGGGGCTTGATCCCAGCGCCCTGGGATCATGACCTGAGCTGAAGGCAGACGCTTAACGACTGAGCTACCCAGGCACCCCTGACAGTTGTTTTTCTAAATGGATGAAAAATTTTACACAAGTCTTAGAACTAATACATTTCAAAGAAACTGAACTGTGAAGTTGTTTTGTTTGGACACCATATATAATTAGTTCTAATAATCACAAGTTAAAGTTTTGGCTTGGAATTATTGAACTCACATGAAGGCAGATAGACTATTATTGTGGGAGAATAATTTCAAGTAATTTCAGTGTAAGAGTTGTTTAATGTCCTGTTAGAAGAAATCATTTCATAGCAGTCTGTGGTGAATACTGTATGTTGGAATATACTTAATATACTTAATCATGTTTTAGGTTATTTTGCTCTTGGTACTATTTCCATCAAAATTTCCTTCATATTAACATTAGGCTTGCTATGTAAAAGTGGGACTGTTAAAAATACAAATCAAGTACAGTGGGAGCAGAGGCTATAGCAATTGACCATTATTTTTCCAAAGGCTTATCGTTATATATGGGGAAAGGACAGTGACGTTTACTGTGAACCTCTCAACTTAAGAATTAAATCTTGTCTTGGCTTTCAAAAAAAGACACTTGATTTTTGAGCTGGTGATAATTTCAGAGTTTTGACTTCTGTGTAATTGGATAGCTGAAGAGTGTTTTAAGTAAAGAACTTTGAATACTTCCTAAATCAGTCAATGTATTTTTTATATCCAGGACATTTGGGTTAAGATTTTTTACTTTATTTTTGAAATTAGAGTTAGACTGAGATAAATAAATCATGTAAATAAAACGTTTTGATCATAACATTAAGTGTTAAAAGTTTTTTGAAATTAACAATTTACCTAACATTTGAAATATGTAACGTTTTACATCATGCTGCTTTTATAGCATGTGGCAAACCAAAGGTATGATTTTTTTTGATAATCCTAAAATCTTATTCTAGGTTTGTCTTGCTTTCATATGCTAAAATGGTTTTTAATAGCAGAGTTGGTATTTTTTTATAACAGATTTGGTAGTTCTTATAAAGCACCACAGAGATGTTGTGTATTCTCAGTCACAGATAAGTTAGGATGTTGAGTTAAAGGGAACTAAGGTTTGAATGTTTATATAAAAGGCATTTAAGATTCCACCTAAAAATGAACATGAAAGAGAGAACACAAGCTCTTCTGTTCCCCTTATTGCATTATTAATGAGCCTTTGATTTTTCAAGAAATGGTCTGGAGTCTGAACAGAGCACTTGGTGTTGAATACTAATATGTGAGAAGATTTAAGTTTATATCACCTTTAAAACTTTGTGTTATATAGCAAATCTAAAAATGAGCAATATTATCAGCTCAGTACACTGATGTGTATCTTAAGCTAGATTTCAGAATTTAATTCAGGCGAAAAAGAATTATCCATTCTGAAGTTTAATTTGCTTTACTCTCAGCTGGCATGAAACACAATGCTTTATGAAAAACTTACTTGTGTCAATGTAGGTATCTAGTATCTAGGACCTCAACATTAAAATATGACTGCTGTTTTAATCCTCACCTTTTTTGGATGATTTTTCTTTGCTATTGTAACATAAAATTAAACTTTCAAGTGAATAATGATAAAAATAATGGAAAAAATGATTTTTTTAAAAATTTAAGGAAGTTAGAGTATTTGCCAGTCTGGTGAATAAAGTTTAAGTTGGGATAGCTGGAACATTATTTCTTTTTTATCTTAATGAATTTGTTTTTATTACTGATAGTATAGTATCCACTAACAGATTAATATTATTTAATATTTTGTCAAGTAGATTAAGAACTTTTTTCTTACTGTCTAATGGACCTAAATACAGGTGCACTTGCATGTTTCTGCATAATCTTCTCTAGGATGTTTCATATAATAGAGAATGATTGATAATAAGTACTTAGGTAGAACTTAATCATTCATCAGAGCAGCAGATCACTAATGACTTTTCCCAAACATGTCTTTTCTCATAAACTAATAGATCTGTAATAGAAAAATGTGTTTTTTCGAATGACTTCTCTCATGGCTTCTTTTGCATGGAAAAACTAGAGATGTTTTGGGTCCAGCCATGTATAACGTACTTTAAAAACGTCATGCCACTATTAAATATTCTAAAATAGTACTTTCAACAAATCGATCAGCTCTAAACAATACATCTCCTTCTTTACGCAGAAAGGAGTTAGAGTGGTCATCATTACAGTTTTATTTTAGGACAGAAAACCTTTTTCTTGTATCTGTTTTCTGCTTCTTATTTCTCAGTTAACTTTTTTGGATTTTTTCCCTGTTCCATTTATTGAGGAGTTGAGAGATGGAAAAGGGGTTAAACATGATCATTTTATCAGTGAATTTTGATCATTTGTAAGACTATATTTTTGGGTGTGAGTTGATGTTCCATAGGAATGCTTAATTCCTAGAAAAGGTCCTGTGTGATAGAAAAATGAAAGTTTTTTAAAAAGATTCTGTATAAGCCAGTGACCTCAATATTTTCTTGATATTTTCCTTTTTTAAATAGGTTGTAGGGTTTGTGGAACACCTGCTTTGAATTTATTGACTTTAGGAGAAAGTGTGTTTGTAGTGAATGAGCTGGTCCTTAGGCTATTTTTGTGTTTTTATTGTTTTATCATACAGTCTTAGAGTAAGATACAGTGCTTAATACTATACTGTTAAGTGAGCATCACAAACTAGACTAGAGTAGGCAAGAACAGGCTGCTGGTTTAAAGTACAGAACCAGGAGGTTAAGAGTGTTTTTGCTGCTAATGATGAATGGTTTTCAATCATTAGAATCATGATTATCTTGAATGAGGTATAGGTACAGTAAATATCTGATTCTAAAATAACTTTAGAGATAGGCTTTGATAATAATACACATTTGGTACCATCCTAATATGGAACAGTACTTTTATCATTCCTTTAGCATTATTAAAGCCTTAATGATTTGGCTTTAGAACTC